GCCCTTTAGTTGACTTCGAGCTTCACAGAGGGGAGGAACAGGCAAAGTCACCAAAGGTGGAGAGGGGGGAACAGAAGAGTGATTCACAGACGTAAAAGAGACAGACAGACAAAAAGGTAGAGAAAGGTAAGGTGAGTACTGAGGAAGTGGTAGAATATGGCATATAGTTGGGTCATGGTAGTTTGAAGTCAGAAGTCAACTGCCAGTTAATAGGCTTTTTTTCCATATGAGTAAACGTCGCCCAAGGTACACCACGTGAAGGTAAGTCTGTCGCGTACCCCAACTTTACAAATATAGGAAAACTTATTTGTTATTAACATTTTTGTTTTATTATTTATTAGTTCGCACTATATTAAAGCGCTAATAATTTTTTCTCTGATATAAATGAATGAATTATTTATAGGGATAATTAAGTTGGCACCTAAGTTACATAAATCCCAAAAGAATATTCAACTTTGCTCAAGCAATGTCTTTCCTTCCTTATTTTGCAAGGAAATTTTCATTTTAGGGAGGCAATTTAAATTTGAAATGCAAAGAATAACCAAGCAGTTGTTGCATATAAAAAAGATTACATAAAATATTCCTCTGCACAATATCTCAGCCAATATTAGGGAATATTTGCTAACACTTAATGTAAAAGCGTGTTATGGTGAGTTGAGTGCTAACTCACTCTGTGAATAAATTAACTTTTCATATTATGACTTATAAATAGCTCATGGGAGATGATTATAACTGTGGGGTCTTACTAAAGCCACATTTATGCTAATTGCGAATGAGAGAAAGCAAAATAACGCAGATATTGCAAATCGACTCCTCTGTTACGAAAGCGCAACTGCTTGTATATGCCCTGACCTCCATGTTTGTGAGGTAGTTAGTCAGACATGCAGTAGTGAGGTTAAATTTCCAAACACACGCTATCAAGTGCGATTGGAGGAGACGAACGAATCCTGGTCAAGCACATCATAAATGAGTCATTTGATTTCCAAATATTGACTATAAGTCCACTCAGTGATTTTACGGAAGTAATGCAATGCTTTATTTGGTAGAATAGATGTTCATCTTGCATTACTGGCCCCTGTTTCTTTATTAAAAGTAGGTTTTTTTTACAATTCAATTAGATACATGCAATGAGACAGAGAATCCCAGCAGAGCTTTCCCTTGCTATGCAACATCTGGAAGAGAATGCTACTCCAGAGCAGAACGATGCGATGGCATCAATCAATGCGTCAACTGGGCAGATGAAGCCGATTGTCCGGAGAATACAACGTCGGGAAATCGACCGCCTCCACCGAAAATGCGCCAACTGGGCTCATTCGAGATGCTTTACCGAAACTGGGAGGACGGTGCGTGGATGTGGCATAGTACCATCGTTAAGTAAGTGGCATGGAAGCATTAGATACTTCAAATCTTATGCATTTGCTCCTGCAAAATCCGTGCCTATTTATGAAGGCATTTTTTTTCAAAACTCGTCTTTGATAGAGGATTAAAAAAGGCCACTTTTATTGGCCAGATCGAATTAGTTCGATTTGTCGATGCAGTTATTAAGTTTGCCTCGATAATTTATTTATTTTATTTATCAAATGGCAGGTAAGTTGATAATTATTTATATATTTATGTATTTCAAATGGCGGGCTTTATGACACTTATCATTAGCCCTTTAGCTGACTTCGGGCTTCACAGAGGGAAGGTTCATCAAAGTAGCAGAAAGTCGAGGGGTGGGGAAGAGAAGAGCGATTCACCGATGTAAAAGAGGCAGACAGACACAAAGGTAGAGAAAAAGGTAAGGTGAGTACAGTGTAAGGGGTCGAATATGACAACCAGGGGGGTCGTGGTAGTTTGAAGCCAGAAGTCAACTGTCGGTTAATAGACTTTTTTGCCGTATGAGTATACGTTGCCCAGGATGCACCACGTGGAGGTAAGTCTATCGAACACCCCTGCCTCGATAAGTATCGAAGTTGCTATCACACATTTGAATCGCTGCCTCACCAAGTCACATACACCCTCGTGCATGGTCTCTCTCTCTATTTAAACAACTGCTAATGCCGAAATTTAAGTTATTTCCCCAAATATTTTTTTTCTGTAAGTCACATGTATACGTGGTTGCTACATTCCTCTTCTGCGCGTATATTTATTTATCCACAAACTGTTCGGTTTGGGTAATTAATTCGAAGGCGATTCTGAAATTTCATGCAAATCGACATATTTTGAAATCAAAAGTTTTTCTCTTCAAGTATTTCTTACCAAAGACAATTAAAAAGTATCTATTTTATCGGTTGAACTTCTCCCTAAATAATCACTTCAGATTTATGAATCCTGTTGGGTAAAGATCTTTTCTTTTGGAATCGGAGTTTGCGAAACGACTCCTTATAAACGCATACTACTGAAATCAAGCAATTTCTCCAGCTATGGGAAAAGGTTTTAAGTTTTAAAATGATAAAATGCGGAAAATCTATCTAAATGACCTCATGCCGCATGACGATTGAATTGGATGGCACAATAGGATCACATCTTTAAAGATGGAACTGTAGAGCCGTTTTATATGTTCTTGGATAGGAGATTCGAGTAGAAGTATTAAATATCTTTAAATTATCAAACGAGTCGTGCTCCGTTTTATCCTGATTCCGTTTCTATGCTCGAATTTGCATAGCAAGCATACTCCACCCTTTCATTTTCTAATGCCAAATTTTTCCCCTGTTTACTGATTGACTTCGAGTTCAAGGCGTCCAAATTTTCCTGACCGAGTGATAATGTCACCTTTTTGTTCATAGCATTTCAGTCGCTTCTTTCTATTGTCAAGTTGATGTGACATTCATTTATATGACCTTATCGATCAACCTGCGCTCATCACAATCGAATCCATATCCACGTAGTGCTTTATCATAACGTTGAACTATTATGTTACTGCAATTATTTAATTACAATGATTTATGGAGGGGTGTGTGATAGACTTACCTCCACGTGGTGTACCCTGGGCAACGTATACTCATACGGCAAAGTCTGTTAACCGGCAGTTGGCTTCTAACTCCAAACCACCATCACCCCACTGTATGTCATATTCGACTACTTTCATGGTACTCACCTCACCTTTTTTCTACCTTTGTGTCTGTCTCTTTAACATATTTGAATCACTCTTCTGTCCCCCCCCCCCCAAGACTTTTTTACACTTTGATGTTCCTTCCCCTCTGTGAAGCCTGAAGTCAACTAAAGGGATAATGATAAGTATCAAAATGCCTGCCATTTGATATAAATAAATAAATGATTTATGGAAGCAAAATAATTGAAGGTTCTGGAGTTCAATTCAATCACAGAGCAGATCAAAAATTGCTCTCCAAGTTCCTCTGGAGTGTTCTTTTGACTTTTACTAGAGCTACGGGTAAAAGTGAAGCTATTTTGCAGAGACAATTCCTGAAATCGCTTTGAAATCAACGAAAAATTGCGAAGAGGTTATCAGTGGAGTGTGATAGTGGCCAACAAACAACACTCAAGACTGCAGATTTGTTGTACTGTCAGCTATGGCTTAGCTATATCTACAACAGAAACAGACTTTCTAGAATTCTTGCAGTGTAGAAGGACATTGGCATGCCAAGCTTATAATGCTTATGTGCTTTTTTAAGTAAGCTTTCCCTGCATTCAATTATGACCAGTTGTCCATTTTTCCTAACTAATTTCAATGCGAATGAGAAGTGTATACGTAGGCAAAGTTTAAAATAACTAAATGGATTTCCATTCGTTTTGCTTTCAGACCAGATGGAGAGATCCAATTTCGAGTCCCACTGCCAAAGATGGAGGCTGGATGGGTGGTTGGTGCATTCGCTATGGACGCCTCGGAAGGATTGGCCTTGGCTTCGTCACCATTGCGATTCGATGGTGCTCGACGCTTTTATTTCACGCTCGAAGTGCCCGAGGTTGGATACTGGGGTGAACAATTTGGAGTCCGCATTTGTCTCTTCAACTATTGGACTTATTTTCTTGAGGTAAGTTAGTTTTATAATTCAGAGAGAATGGCTTCACTGCATGTGCATCTTTGCTAGTTCCTATTGGACACTGGACGTTTCGCATTTCTGCGGTGTCCAGATGGATGAGAAACGTCAATTAACGCTAAAGCGTCAAAATATAGATGTTTTTAGCATTCCAACGTGAAAAAAATGCATGCAATGCGTAGAGTGGATTAGTCCTGTCGACTTTGTGCCATAATTACACCACTTGACAAATAATAAACAACATGGCGCATATCTATCAAAATTTTCACCTTTCAATGAGAGAAATTAAGATCTGTCCTAGTTAATGACCATCTTAAGAGGTTCTCATCAAGAGACGCATCAGACTGACCCCACTTCTCCAAGGAACGCCTAATCTATATTTTATATATTTCCCAATATATGTATATTATATTAGCTTGGATAAACTTTCCAATCATCACACTGTAGAAAAACAAAGATTTATTTATATCAAATGACAGGCATTTTGACATTTATCATTGGCCCTTTAGCTGACTTCGGGCCTCAAAGAAGGGAGGAGCATCAAAGTCACAAAAAGTCGAGAGGGGGGGGGAACAGAGGTGTGATTCGCAGATGTAAAAGAGACAGACACAAAGGTAGAGAAGAATAACCATATATGTTCAATACAGTAGAAACGATTACACATTTACAACAAATATAACCCTTGCAACCAAGAGGAACACAGGGGTCATCGACCGCAGTACACCAATTCAGTTATTATTCCAGCATAGGTCAAAATTGTCAAGACTTCTCGGATCATTTTGTCACGATTTGAATGAACAAGCTCCATTTTTGCCAAGGGACATATATGAATCGTCCACGTGTGGTCAGTCAAGCGAATGGCAGCACTGACACACATCAGAATCAAATAGCACCTGCATTCAAGTCAATTTGGGGCCTATTTTGACCTCAAATAAATGTTACGTGGATTATAGATTCAATCCCTCCTTAGCCTATTATTTGGTGTGAATAATTATTTATTAACTTATATCAAATGGCTGGTGTTTTGATAGATATCATTAGCCCTTTAGTTGACTTAGCGTTTCACAGAGAGGAGGAAAATCAAAATCACAAAAGTCGAGAGGGAGGACAGAAGATATAAAAGAGACAGACAGACAGACACAAAGGTAGAGGAAAGGTAAGATGAGTACTGCGGAAGTGGACGAATATGACATACAATGGGCCATAGTAGTTTGAAGTCAGAAGTCGACTGCCGGTTTATACGTTGCCCAAGGTGCATCAAGTGGACCTCTGCGAGTTACCGGTTAGTGAGTCAAAAGTATTTTCGAGCCAATTATTTATTCGGCTTCATTCATTTCCGAAATGAGATAAATCAATGAAGTTCATAAACTCAATTGAATGCCAACCTTTCGTGTCATTCTCTCTATCCTCAAGCTATTTTTACCATAAGTGTGAACTCTTGAAATCTTCAAAGTCTCAGACATGTATGAATAATGAGCTGATCAAATCAGCTTTGATATTCGCACACCCCATGGGAATAACCATGTATCCCACCTCTATTTTAAAACCTCTATAAACCTAGTCTTTTTTCACCACACAAACCCCATCGCTTCTATCTTCGCCCTCCCCCCCCCCCCACATGGATGCACTTTCACGCATGTTGAACATATTTGCTCGTATCATTTGGTCGTCATCTCATTTTCTGCCCGAACAAAATGTCCCTCCCTAGGATAGAAAAAAGGTGTGTAGGTACTTCATTTTAAAGGACTTGCCCCTTGAAGACTGTTGCAAAGCGTCTGTGTCAACAATTTAGTCATGGAGCTCCTAGAATATAACAGGTCTTTTTGTGATGAAAGACACAAATGCACTAAGATGTCATGATGCCCAATTTGTGATCGATCGATATTTTTAAAAAAAGTTGGCTTCGCATTGTTTAATGACCTTTTGAAATCTTGGTTCATAATTCTCCAGTAGGTTGGTTTTATAACACTTGACTCCACTTCTCGACTCCATGTTTGCATTTCCAAAGCTGAATATTTATTTATTTATTCATATCAAATGGCAGGCGTCTTGATAGTTATCATTAGCCCGTTAGTTGTCTTCAGACTTCACAGAGGGGAACATCAAATTGAAAAAAGTCGATAGGGGGGGATAGGGAAGAGAAGAGTGTTTCAAAGATGTAAGAGGTAAACACAAAGGTAGAAAAAAAGGTGAGGTGAGTACTGTGGAAATAGTCGAATATGGCATAGAGTGAGGTGATGGCAGTTTGAAATCAGAAGTCAACTGCCAGTCAATAGACTTTTTTGCCGTATGAGAATACGTTGCCCAGGGTGCACCACGTGGAGGTAAGTCTATCACACACCCCGTAGGGTATAAAGTAAATGATGTCATTTCACTGTTTCACTGGTGCCATATGGGTGACGTAACTTTATGCTAATTATACTACTTAT